GCTGCTCCATGGCACTCTGCCAGAGTACCCCACAAAATATTTTGGGGTTTCATGGAACCTGCTGCCCTGCAGATAAATCACACCAGGCGAAAAATCACATCGTTCCTAGAATTTTGTAGCCTCAGTTGGCACCCAGTTTCTCTCTGGCTCCTCTCAACAGCTGACAACACTCACAAATTAACAGCCCACTTGTTCAATTATTTTTTCCTTTTCTATCCAGACGCAGGTTGGGATCTGTGTGTCCCTTTAATAGGTGTGCCACAGCAACATGCCAGTTTCCCATTTTCTAGTAAAAAAAAAAAAAACCAAACATCTAAAGCCTGGCAGACTTCTTCCTGCTAGCAAGGAAACCTCCTCTGAGGACACTGCAAAGATTTAATTTACTACCAATTGCCCTCTGGTTATTTTACATTTATGGGGTGGGGTATGAAGAAAGGAAGAAAGCAGAGGGAGGGTGTAATTAGCTTTGCCTGTAAAATGTTCATCCCAGTTGTAACAGCAACTGGAGCCTATCAGGGGCTTAACAGATTTCAGGGTTTTGTTCCTTGCAAGAGCTGCAGTGTCTGTGTGGGGTGTGGGGGGGAAATAAAAAAGGGGGAAAAAATACATAAAAAAATTTTTTTTAAAAAAATTCAATAAGTGGATCCTACTCTTTGCCACAACCCCATATGGAAGTAATCAAGCACAAGGGTGGCAGCTGGGGCCAATAACAGTCACCTGCAGTTGAGGGACGTGGGGGTTTCGGATGGGTTTTTAATGCTAATTTCCTGGAGGAACAATGCGGGAGCGGGCGCGGAGCGGCAGCCGAGGGCGGATGAATAGGGACCAGCGGGAACAATGGCTGCACCTGGCGCTGGGAGCAGCGGCTCCGAGCCGGCACGCGGCGGCAGCGCCCGCACATCTGTTCCCGCACAATGCCCCGCTCCCCCCGCAGCATCCCGAGCCACACCGGCCCCGCTCGCACCCACGGCCCGCCGGGCAGCAACAGGTCTGAGCTGTTCCGGGGCTGCAGCATGGCCTTCCTCCTCCTCCTCCTCTCAATGCTTTTGGGGCTTTCTCGGTTGGTTTTTTTGTTTTGTTTTGTTTGGTTGGTTTTTTTCCGGTGGAAGAGATGTCTTTGGAAGGGGTGGTTACCCAGCAGCATCCCACCGGCGGGCTGTGGCGTCCTGTTGCTGCAAGGAAAACTGGCTCCCGGTTTTGTTGTTTCTGTAGGACCAGGGAGTAACCGAGCAGCACATCTGCAAGTTTTGGCTCTTCTCAATGGTCTTCTGGCCACCTGTGACTGTCCTCCTCCCACAGCACAAGTCCTGCTGCGGCCATGAGAGACGGGAATCCTGCGGCCAGGAGCGCGCCAAGGAAATTCAATACGCATTATTCTAAAACCTTAAGCTTGGCTTACGAAAATGCCACTGCCCAGCCCAATAAAAGGCATGATAGTTACACTTTAAAATGCTTTGAAACCTCTGAAATCGCTATTGTCCCGTCGGACATAAGCTGCTGACACACAAAGCGGTGCTAAGGTCAAGGTCCTGCCTCAGAAAATTGCTTGCAGACCCAGGCACTGAACCCAAGCCTCTCCATGCTGCACTTTAACTGTGGGATCATCGCTCACCAGCTCTTCCTGGCTGCTGCTCCTGCTCTAAACAAAGGTTTTTCCAGCCGTTCCCTGAACGCTGCATGAATTAAGACAGTCTCCATCATAAAAATAAAAGTTGAACAGGCTCCCAGAGACCTGCAGTGACGCTGCCCCCAGGGACTGCTCTGGAGTGTCTGTCGAAACACATTTCATACCTAGCTCCTAACAAGCAATCAGATATGGAAATAGTCACTAAATAAAGGCAAGCTTACAATCCAGCCCAGAACAAGTATGGATAAGCCAGCTCTTATAATGGGAAAAAACCCAACAGGCAACACATTACGACCATTTCCTGCTCAGATGTAAGAACTAGCCAGCATTGCCTTAAATTTGCTGCATATGCCCAAATCCTCAAATCACTGTATTCAGCTATACCATAAACATCACACATACCCATCAAACAAATCTCGTTTTTTGTCCAAACCTTAAAAAAACAGAGCTGGAAAAAACAAGAGGCCACCTGGCTCACCCATCCCATCCCATCCCATCCCATAACCGTGGGAGAGCGCTGCCTCCTGCTAAATGCTGCTGGTGGTTACTGCATTTATGGGTCAGTTTGAGGACCAAAGAGCTGGTTGCCTTGAAAACTCAGTCAAACCACACAAACCTGTCAAACCAGTGATAACCTCAACGAGCCAAAATCCACCATGGGTGACACGTGACAAAGCAGCTGTAAAGCAGCAATAAAATAATCTGGGACTCACACTCGGCAGGACAGATGAGGCAACATTAAGAGAAACCCTTCTCTCTCGAGGACACTGCTCCTGTGAGACCAAGAGGAATAAGACAAAAGGAAAACCAAACCCAAGAGCCTGACCCAGGGTTCACGTGAGAAAAGCTCCCTTGGTTTCAGCTCCGGCGGGTTTGAACAAGCCTCTGCAACACCAGCAGATGCAAGTTGCAAAAATAGCAGCATCTTGGAAGTAAGCAGGGGCTGTGGCTCCAGTCCCTGGGCAGAGCAGAGCCCGACTTGGCAGCACCGGTTTGGCCTTTTCACTATTAAATGGAGTTTCTGCTCTTTTCCTTGGGGCATTCCCTGTGTAATAGAGTTCTCAGATTAACGATTTATTCTCCCTGCCTTTAGCAATTCTGCTCCTTCCTCAAACCTTTCAAATCCTTCCCTTGGCTTAACTGCACTTTCCTGTTGGCAGTATTTGCTCAAACTGCCTTTGCTTTACCCCCTTTTCCTTGTTTCTCACACTAGAGTCTCTTAGGTTTGCGTTATTTGTGCATTTCTCTAACTGCTGGATGTGCTGGGGTAGGGTTCCCTGGCTGAGGAGGACACACAGTCATTTAGATGAAGCCCAGGTAGTTCCAAAAAAAAAATCAGACTAAACATCTTTTCCACATTAATAGTGAAAATCATGTCATCCAGCAGACAACTGTGAAAAAACAAGGTGGATGTCCTTGGAAAAAACACTTGGATGTCCTATACCATTTCTATAAAATTATTACGACTGGCCACCGACTTTCTGGCCCCCCTCTTTCCCAAAACACAATCACTTCTCCCACCCAAGCACTCAGCTCGTCAGGCACCCCAAATCCTTTCCAAAAATGAAGGAACCTGAGAAAAAAAACAAAACCAAAGTTTCCTGCAGGGCTTGAGCAAGACTTCAGCAAATGAGTTGTTTAATGGCCAAACGCGCTGCCCCGATGCCGGCGAAACTTCCGTTGGTTCAACCAGAGCCCTGCAAGGAGACCACAGGAGCAGATGCTCCAACACACTGCACTGCCTCCACAAATTCGGGAAGTCTCCAGGAGAGCTGCAGCAGAGGAGCACAGCCCTTTGCTTTTAGGTATCATCACACTCTGTCTGGCTTTGCTGGACACTTTTTGGGTTTCTACCTCCTTTGTGCTGGTGCACTTTGAGACGCTGAAGTTGAAGAGCGCTGGGCAGCACATGCTCCTTCTGCCTCCTCTCTGGGGACAGCAAGGGACACACGGGAAGTGTTTGTTGTGTCTGCAGAAGCAGATTTTATATATATATATATATACATATGTTTTTTATTTTTAAAGCCTATACCCAAATGCTTGCATGCTGCAGGAGAAGGAAAATGTTAAGGTGGCCCACAGAGTGGCTGAGCACAGAGCTGCAGCCCATGCACCCAGCCAGGGAGCCTGGCCAGGCTCTCCCCTGGGAAACCCTGTCACCTGGCACACTTAAAAACTAACCTGGACAAAGCAACACCAACGGGAATCATCCTGCACCAGACAGCCTAGTGAATATTTTCTCTTTTTCCAGCCTGACAGCAAGCGATGCTCAGCCACATTTCAGCTCCCCAAACTTTGAATGCTGATTTTGGTGCATCTCCCGTGGCGGGGAAGGATTTCTCTAGCACATTAAAGGGACTGTGAGTATTGTTGCACGGGAGCTGAGTGCTGCAGGAGGGAGAAAAAGCTGGTAATATTTTGGGGAGCACGCCCTGGGGCAGCAGCTCAGCAAACATGGAACAGAAGTATCTTTACAAGAAGCTACACAGAGGGTTGGAGGAGCAATTTCAACTGCTGAACCTTCCCAAAAGACAGGGAGGGGGGGAAAAGAGCAGGTTTAAACTAAATACACAGGATCCAGGGATTACAAGAGAAAAACAGAAAATACAGCAGTCTGCAGCCCGACGTGAAAATATACAGGGGGAGATCTGTGCTGGTATCACAAAATTGATCCGGGAGATTTAGATGCTGGGAGCATCAGTTGCTGCTCAAGGAGCGCAAAGACAAAAAGGGAGCAGCCTCTGCCACAATGCAGAGAAGCCCTGAAAACACGGGGAAAATTAAGGAAATTTGGGAGCCAATGGAAGAAATCCACCTCTGCAGATTTACCCCCCCCTCTCCGAGCTTCAATAGGAGCATGCAGAAACCAGAGTGAGGCTGGGCACAGCAAAAAAACCACATTCTGCTAAAACACACAAAACCCTTCCTGCTTTGCCATTTCCCCAGAAAACGCTGAATCCCAGCCCTCTGCTCACGGAGGAGGGGTTGGGGGGGGTAGGAAAAAAAAAATAATAACCATTCCATAGCAACACGGAACAAGCTGTACCGCAGCTCTCCTCAGAGAGAGTTTAGTGTTTTTTCAGCTGCAGAATCCTCGCTTGCAGCCGCTGGGCTATTGAAGTTTTCCCCGGCACAGCCACTGCAGAGGAGCGAGGCAGGCAAAGCGCTGCGGCCGCCGCCGCTCCCACCCTCTCCCTCTACCTGCTCCCAAGGTTGAGGGTCTCCCCAGCCCGCCGGCAAAACACACGTCGCTCCTCAAACCTTGCCGGCGGCACAAGGGCTGAGCATCCCCCCCCCCGAGCATCCCCCGCTGCGCCCGGATGAGCTGAGCCTAACCCAGCGCTGTTTAAAAATAAACCCGGCTATCGCTTACCCTAACCGGCGAGGTTGCAAGGATCCAGCTGCTGTTGAATACACCTAGTTTCTTTGAAACAGAAAGAAAAGCGCTCTTCCTCCTCCTCCTCCTCCTCCGCTCGTGATCTTCGAGCGCAGCCGGAGCCCAGCCTGCCTTCTCCTTTCATTAGCTGGACATGTGTCAGGTCCCGCACATCTGCGATTTCTCACTGCCTGGAGCCGCCTGTCCGATTCCAGGGAAACACAGATGGATCCCAGATGGGAAGGTCCTGCCAAACAGACCAGCTCTCCACCTTGCCAGAATACCCAGCTTAGAGGCAACACACCCTCGGCTCCCTGCCTGCTCCCTGCCTGTGCCGCGCTGCTGCCAGGCTGCTCGCCAGCTGATGTCACCAGGCACACACCTACCAGCGCCTCGCAGCCCGCCTGACATTAACTTGTTAAATACACGTAATTTGTTTATGGCCGGCAATAACGGCGAGACAGCGGCGGCAGGAAAAGAGGCTTCGCCGACCAACACGGGCGCTGCCACCCTCCCAAAAACCAGCTCTGCCTTACGCGGCGCCGGGGGTACATCTCCGCTCAGACCTCGGTTTTGAAATCCGGATAAAGCTGTTGGGTAAACCAGAGGATTAATTTTCTGAAGGTTTTCCCCCACGCACGTAAATCTTCGCTGTAAACTCCCCCCCACTCCAACAAGCCCAAGCGCCAGAGTTTGCAGCGCTGGAAAAGCTGGCATGTGTTAGCAATTAGAAGCAACAACAAGATAACAAGATACTGATGTTGCAAGGGTACCAAAAGCAGACTGGAAAATTCAAAGGAAGGGCAATTAAATGTGTAACATATTACTGAGATCGAAGAGGAAGTGTTAAAGGAAAATGTAAATCCGAAATGCGGAGCAAACTCCACCAGGACCTCGGGGCAGGAACCCACCGGGCACAGCCACATTTGACCATTTCCCCCTCCCATTAACGCACAGACGTGGCGGCTCTGCCACCTCCGAACCCCCCCGGTAATCCCGAATAGCCGCTCCCCGAGGTGTGGTGCGAACAACAGATATTAACTGGAGGCTCCTGACTAATCCCATCAGCCCAGCACCCTTCCCCTCGAGCCGGGCGCTGGGCAAACACGCATTTACACAGCAGCCTTCCTGGCCACGCACATGGGCGTCCCTGGCTGACGGCTGGGCTGCCCCGAGAAGGGGCAACCACCCCTCCGGTTCTTGCCCCAAAACCATCCTCCTCCCAGCTCCCATAAAACCACCCCAGGAGGACAAAGCTACACTTGCATTTTGCTTGCAGACCGTGCACAGACACATTTTAAGATCTCGGCAGGGATTGTGAATCCAATCCACACAGCTGAGCAGGTTCAGCTCAGCTCTTGCTATCCTTCCCAAATCTTTGCAGGCAACACTGCCTCTCCCTCCAGCTACTTTTTGGAGAACCAGGGACCTCTGTACTTTCCCTCTGTCCTTTCCCAGGGCAGCAAACTAAGAGCCCAAGCTGAGGGATGCTGACTTTTCACAAGTCCAGAAATCACACGTGCCAAATTCTCCATAGTTGGTGTAGGCATGACAGGATATTTACTCATTCACAGACAGAAAATTCTTCTTTTTATGAAATTCCCAGTGCTCTGGCAGGCTACTGCTAACTGCCAAGCCAGGTCCATAAACCTTCTAGAGGTACTGCCCCCCCGCATCCCACCTAACCCTTCACCCCCTGCTTCTCTGCTGCTTATTCCTAATTAGTTTAAGGTACCTCTGCATCCCTCTGGGAGGGGAAAAGGCTGTAAAGGGAGAAAAGTGCTTTAAAGGAAGTATTAAAAAGCATTCTACGAGCAGGCATGGCATGAACACAAGGGCCACAATCTCCTGCAAGAGACAGGCCTCCCAGTATAGGATGCTGGGGGATAACTGGGGGAGCATTTTGGAAGGGACTCCGGTCTGCTGTAGGACCACATGAAGTTGCTGGTTCCTTGGCTGGCTGCAGGCAGAGGGGGCACAGGTTTACAGCAACTCCCCCACCTCCAAACTTAACCCAAGACCAGCAACTTCACACGCTTCAGTTGAAAAAAAAAAAAAAAAAAGTGAATCACATTCAAGTATCAGCACATGGATACCTGGAGCATCCCACCAGGTGATGCTCAGGCAGCAAAGTGGGTTGGGAACAGGCATCCACTTCTTCCTGCACCTCAGGCCCTGCTGGTGGGGCTGCTGGCAAGGCAAGTCAATAAAACACTTAACTGCAGAAAGTTCAGCTCACTGGGGCTTCTGACACTTCTGATGGAGGTTGCGCAAAATACTGAAGCTCTCAATATTTCATAAGCTGAGATGGAAAAATCATCTCTAAATTACACAGACAATGAAGGGAGACACAACCCAAAGCAGCTCCACCAGCACCAGAACTAATAAAGTTATTTTCCTATGGAACTTGCATCTCATGAGTGGCTCCCCGGCGCCTCGCACTGTGAGGTCCCCAACGGGAGCCCTCCCCGGCCGGGGTCGTGCCGACAGCACAGGCTCTTATGTGGATTCTCTGATGTCTTATAAGAAGCAAGCTCATGTTGCAGCTTTGTCCCCAGTGGAGATGGTACCAGGCAGATGGATGCAGCCCTGTGCTCAAGGCATTAAGCATTCAGCATCAGACACGGCTGTGCCCCGTCCAGCCCTGTCCCAACATCGCCAAACCAGCCTGAAAACAGCCAGGGAATTCGAAAGCTGGCTCTGGTCTCAGTGAGACAGAGGGGTGAATGCTGGATGGCAAACAGAAGGTGCTCAAGAGATGCAGCCTGGCAGCTCTCTGGGTCAAAGTCATCCCAGAAAGCCCTCTCAGAAGGTACATAGGACAGCCTGGGGTTTGGGGGCTTTATGTGAGATAGGTAACTAGCACCTGGTGTTCCCTCAACTTCTTTTTTAATCGTATTTTAACTTGACCTGAACAGCTTGTAACACTTGTTTCACTTCACACAAACAAAAGCAGTCCCCAACTATGACAACTAGGTTCTAACTATCCTTTGTCAACCCATGGTCAAATAAATCTTTTCCCTATTTTTACAACTTAAAGTAGTTTGAAATGTCGAAAACTTACACTATTCCAAGTACTTCAAGTACAAGTTCCAGTGATGTGACTTGATAAACCTTAATGAAAATGGTTCACACTCTTTGCCACGGTGTCCACAGCCCAATGTCAACCAAAAACCCAACATCCCCAGGAGAATACATCCCCACTTCTGGGGGAGCAGGAATATGCCAGACCTTGTGGCTCAGAACAAGGAAAATGCACGTGTGGTTTTGGGCCCTCAAGGCCTAAAAACTAAAGGTGGGGTCACTGGGGTGCTCTGAGTAGAAGCCATTGCAAAACCTCCTTTGAAAGGCTCGTGGATTGTGTCTTACACATGACCCACGTGCCTCAGCTCATCCAAAACATGAGTCACCCCTCAAATGAGACAGATCCACGGAGCCACAGGCAAGCACACCACTGCTAACTGGTCTCTCCAGGAACACCAACACGGCAGCTCCAGTTTCTTCAAAGTGAGCCAGGAGAAAGCATCCCAGAAACCATGTCCTGCTCAGCCACCACCTTTACAAACAGAGCTTGTGGAAAGCAGAGGCAACTCACTAAGAGAAGACAGTGAGACACAGAGTCACAGAATGGTTTGGGTTGGAAGGGACCTTAAAGCTCATCCCGTTACATCCCCCTGCCCGTGGCCTTGAACACTTCCAGGGATGGAGAGTCCACTTATCTACTGACCCCAAGCAGCACCTCACTGTAACCAAAAGGCTTCCCTGCTCCCCAAATATGCATTAAACCACATTTTGTAGCCCAGACATCAGCAGCACAGCGGAAGGAAGCAGGACTGCAGGCAGCACGGGGCAAACCTCTTTCCCCAGCTCACCATGCTAATCTGCTTCTCACAGATGTTTCTTTCATAAACTGTTGTGGGAGAATGACATTCTGCAAAAATGGTTTACTATTCTGCTTTCTTCTCCTGGGAATGTTCCATGGAAAGAACGATGCAAACAAAGTTT